ATAATCTCATTGACTCAACATTTAACTTATTACATAATTTCATTTAGTACATCATGTCATTATTTGTCATAGTCTCATAATCATAGTTTGTCTCAATAGTCCATTCTTAGGTCTCATGTCATTTGTCCATATTTCACATGATCATGTCATAAATACTCCTTATAAGGTCCGCACAGGAATTCACAGAGGTCCAGAGAGCATTCTTGTTCATATTAAAACTCATTTATTATTAACATTAATTTCATATTCATTTATTACTTTCAACAAAGAACAAAGTAGAGTAAATAGAAAATCAAACAGAACAACGACACCTTCAACAAAGAGCAAAGTAGAGTAAATAGAAAATCAAACAGAACAACGGCACCTTCAACAAAGAGCAAAGTAGAGTAAATAGAAAATCTCAAGAGTGGCCAGAACGGCCCGTTTCAGATTCAGAATGGCCTGTTCTGGACTCATTCGTCATGTGTGAAATTCACATCTAGAACGACCCGTTCTTAAACCAGAATGACCTGTTCCCAACTAGGGTTATAGGCCTTTTTAGTAGTTTGGAACGACCCGTTCCAGTTTGGGAATGACCCGTTCTAGGCTACCAAAAATAGGTTTTTTTAGTAGTTTGAAATGGCCTGTTCTGAACTACTAAATCAACCTTATTGGGCTTTGAGCCTTCGTATAATCTGTGAAAATCGGGGTGTTACACCTGTCATATAGATGCATATGATGTATGTCACACATTCACATGTTCATGGACTTAACATTACACTTATCATATCTTATCATGTTACTTATTCTAACACATTATCATACTGATAGTCACAAGGTCACATATAAGAGATTCTCATCCTCATTATGCTCATAAAAACACATCACTTGCATTAACACAATAACAAGGTAATTCTCACACTATTAATACCTTCAAACATAGCTTAAAACTTATCTGTTTTCAAAATTATCTGTTCCTCATAAGGTTTCCCACAGGAACCCACAGAGCACCAATTCATATAAAAACTTATCTGTTTTTGAAATTAAACACATATCCACACTCAACAAACATCAAGGAACACAACAGAAAACTCAAACATCAAAATAGAAAACATTCTTATTTTGCTTGTTTATCATAAGATTTACCGTAGGAACCCATAGAGCACTCTAATGCATATCAAAACATATTCAATCTTAAAATTAAACATACATTCATGTTCAGTAATCATCAGAGAACACAATAGAAAACTCAGAAGCCAAAATAGAAAACATTCAAAATTTGCTTGTTGCTCATAGGTTTCCCCCAGAAACCCATAGAGCACTCTAATCCATATTAAAACTTATCTATTCTCGAAATTGAACATATATTTACACTTAGAATCACACAAAGAACACAACAGAACAATAAAAAAGAAAAATAGAAAACTTTTATAAAGTATATGTTTCTATATGCATACATCAGGCAAGGGATTGAAGGCCAATCTGACTACACAACAATTATTTCACTACAAAAAAATGCAAATTTTCGACGGACATAATCCATCGGTAAAAAAGAATATCCGTCAAAAATAGAGAATTTTCGAAGGATGCAAATCTGTTGGGAAAAAGGGTGCTGGAAAAAAAAATCCGTTAGAAACAATTTAATCCGTCAAAAATTTTTTATGGATATATCTGTCGAAAATTGTTTGAAAATCTTTATGCGATTCCGACGGATATTGAAATGGCCTGTTCTGAACTACTAAATCAACCTTATTGGGCTTTGAGCCTTCGTATAATCTGTGAAAATCGGGGTGTTACACCTGTCATATAGATGCATATGATGTATGTCACACATTCACATGTTCATGGACTTAACATTACACTTATCATATCTTATCATGTTACTTATTCTAACACATTATCATACTGATAGTCACAAGGTCACATATAAGAGATTCTCATCCTCATTATGCTCATAAAAACACATCACTTGCATTAACACCATAACCTCCTCCTTTCTTTCCTTAAACAAGGACCAGGACTAAAACTGGGGCAGAACCTCATCCTCTGAGTTCCTCTTGGTCTTTAGAGAGAAGAAAAGGAAAGAAGAGCATAATAGAGAAGGAAGAGAAGGTGTGTGAAAATGAGAGAAATGAGGGTCTATTTATAGGAATTCTGGCTCACCTACCGGAACGGCCTGTACTGAAAGCGGAACGGCCCGTTCCGGAACCTTCAAGTATACACAAAATTTTCCATTGGAACGGCCCGTTCCAACTAAAATATTTTAAGAATTTTTCTTATTCCGGAACGACCCGTTTCACTTTGGGAACGACCCATTCTGGAACAACCCAAATAGGCAAATTTTCTACTTTGGAACGGCCCATTCTGCTACTTAAAAATGGGTTCATTTTCATCATTTGGAACGGCCCGTTCTGGGCAATCAAACATAGGTATATTTAGTCATTTGGAACGGCCCGTTCCGGGCTACTGATCCACCCTAATTGGGCCCTTGGCTCAGTGAAAATTGGGCTGTTACAGTTATCATATATATAAAATTTAAGTTCAGAAAATATGTCTATTTATTTGATATTTTTAAATTTTTAAAAAAGATTAGTTCTTATATATGACAAATAATACTTCTTAATAACAAATTAATTTTTTTTGAAATTTAATTAATATATATATATATATATATATATTAATGCTCACATATATAATATAATATATTAAAAATTAATTTTTAATAAAATAAAAATTATAACATGCATATTTATCTTTGGTACTTTTTATTTATTGTACACGTTAATTAAAAAAATCAAAATATTAAAATTTGTAAGATTTATGTTCTATTTAGAATTTTTATTATAAAATATATTATTAAATAAATTATCATTTTAAAATTACTTAAATATATTTTTAGTCCCTCAAATTTAAGACAAATTTATTTTTGGTCCCTCAAATTTAAAACTGTTATTTTTAGTCCCTATAATTTTCAAAAATCTTGTTTTAGTCCCTTAAGTCACCAATAACATATTTGAAAGTGACTAATTAAGACAGTTATGCAATATCAACCAGATTTAATGTGATATTTTCACTAATAGGGATACTAATAAGTAGATTTTATACAATAATGTTTGATAAATTTCTTAACAAAATTTGAATATAAGGACTAAAATAAGATTTTTTGAAATTACAGGGACTAAAACCAACAATTTTAAATTTGAGGGACCAAAAATAAATTTATCCTAAATTTGAGGGACTAAAAACATATTTAAACCTTTTAAAATTTATATTAAATATTAAAAACATGTTTATATCACAAATAAATTAAATTTGTTTTTTTTATAATATTTAACATAATTATTTTTATGTTTTTATTAGTGTTAAATTATTATAAAGTAGGTCTTTGGAGTTATAATTCTAACCAAACATTAAAAATATGTTTATGACAAATAAATAAATCATATTTAGGATATATATTTTCAATGAAGGTTAAATTCAGACCTACTAAATTATAAATAATCTAGTCTAACTTAGTTCTAATCGTAACCATAGATATAAAAGTTTATAAAAATAATTATAATATATATTTATACTTTTAAAGGTGATATATAAATTTTTTAATTCTACAAATATATGAATAAATATTGTTCTCACTACCTAAAATTTCTAGCTCGGTCACTTAAACTTCGTATTTATAAAAAAAACTCGTTAGTGTGCACTACCCCTAATCAATGGGGTGATCAAACTTATTCTTCCAAGGCAAACAAACATTTTAGAGACGAGAAGATGATTTTGTAGACCTTGGCTCTTTACCATATTCATATACGCCAATATCTCGTTTTCTTCCTAGCCTGCCAGCATCAACATGCTGCACAAGTAGAGGGCAGGGTGCATATTTGTTGTCTCCAAGGCCAGCATGAAGAACTCTCATTATTGACAAGCACACATCCAACCCAATGAAGTCTGCAAGCTCCAAAGGACCCATTGGATGGTTAGTACCCAGCTTCATTCCTGTGTCAATATCCTCTTTGGTTGCAACACCAGTGTAGAGAGCATAAAATGCTTCATTTATCATAGGCATGAGGATTCGATTCACTATGAAGCCTGAATAATCCTGGGAGGTTATTACTACCTTCCCCAGCCTGCATATTGAACAAGCATTGAATTAAAAGGACACAAATTGGGTCCGCATGTAACACAGAAAAATCTCTTAACCATATAAAACTACACAATTGGTCCACATTCAAAACATCCCTTAAGTTAGGAAAGCACATATTATTAATCATGGTATATAACATAATGATAGAACGATGTTCATTGGTTCAATTGGTGTTGCAATTAATACTCAAGTCTTAAGGTCTCGAATACGAATTTTGGGTTTGATAAAAAACGACCTTAAAAAGGATAGTCTTAACACAGTTAATATCTTGAATGAGACTAGTTTCCAACAAAGTCGGAGGATACTTCTACCAATGTAGTAGTACCATAGTTCTTAAAATAATATTAACAAATATAAGTTTGCCTAAATATTAATGGAACATGACAGCCTCAATGTGAATTTCAACCTCAATAATTCCAATTCCCTACAAACGAGGGTAATATTTTCTTCCTATTGACATTCACATTTTTCAGAACAGAGAAGTGACGATGGAGACAAACAAAACAGGGTACACAAAATCAAACACTTAAGCTTATATTTAAACAGCTGTTGTGTTGCAATTACAGAAATTGTGAAAAATTTTCTAAAATTTTAAAATTGCACTACCAAAATGGTGAAAATTTGAAAATCTAGTAGTTTAAAATTTCAGTTTAAATACCTATTTCGTTTTATAGCTCATAAACTTTATCTTTTAATTTTTATAATGAAAATAATTTTATTTTAATTCTTATACGTATTATTTTTTATATTTTTTCAATTATCTACTTATTATAAAAACTAAAAGGTAAAATTTATAAAACTTTAAAAAAAAATTTAATTATAAAAACTAAAGGGTAAAATTCATCAAACTATAGCACCAAATAAATATTTAAACATAAAATTTCCTATGCAAAAACCATTGCATAAACCTTAAAAGCTGCAACATCATGAACCACAATTTTAAGACGTGCTCTCTAGAATTAGAAAGGGGAATCCCAAGCTAAAAAAACCTCTCTGACAACGCTTTCGTAGCTATAAATGTCTCGTCAGAAGTGTCTGCTCCTCGCACAATCTCGATCAATTTCATCACAGGCGGAGGGTTCATAAAATGCATTCCAATCACCTGATCAAAATGAAGTTAATTTACCGTCAAGATGAACCAGCGAGGTAGATCCAAACACATTCAATCTAATGGTAAATTTAAAATAAAATTATCTAAATGTTTATACCGCAAGTCCGCTGTCATCGTTAGAATTACCGCATCCGAAGTATTGTCCGCTTTGGAACTCGTTGGGCCGTCACGGTTTTGTCCTTTAAAAGGTACTTCGGTGGGTTAAGGAGCGAGGGTATTAATAAACTACCCTTAGCCTCGACTCCTAAGCAATGTGGGACTTTTAAGTATACTCGAACAAGCCCCCTAGTCGATGCTAAGGGGCAAGAGTAGCCTAGGCCTTCCTTCTAACGCCAAATGTTCCTACCGTAAGTCCGCTACCATCGTTAGGGTCACCGCATCCGAGGTATTGTCCATTTTGGCTCTCGTTAGGCCGTCACGGTTTTATCCTTTAAAAGGCGCCTCGGTGGGTTAAGGAGGGAGAGTGTTTATAAATTACTCTTAACCTCGATTCTAAGCGATATGAGACTTTTTAGGCTACCGGAACACTAAATATTTGTTCACTTTCTCTTCAATTCCCTTCTCTTCTTATTTTTCTCTTTCATATTACATTACGTATCATATCTATTAATTATTTTTAACAAGTGTTAGTTACACTCTTTAACACGCTACTTTAAACATACTACTCACTATTATTAGAAACAACAAAATAATGAATAAAGTTCATTAAGCTAATTCCAGAAGTGAGAGTTGTCCTCCCTTGTACATTTTAGTTGTTAAATTTATTACGAAGGATCTCTAACGGACTCACATTTATGGGTGGTACTACCATCTTAAAATTTAAAAGGGTTATCTCAAATCTAAAAGTTAGTCCAAAAAATTGAAGATTTTCTCACTTATATATTCTATTTTAATCAATTTTGACTATAACCAGTCAATTAGAGATTTTCAATAAAAACTAACAAAATTTTGTGCTTTTCAATACCTTTGAGTCAACAATAAAGTGAAGTACAACCTTCATCTTGTTAACTAAATTTTAGGATAGAGTTACATCAAAATCAAACTTCTAAGATCCTATATGTTGTTAGTCCTATCTAAGTGGTGGGGGTGTTATTCGACCACCTACAAACATTCTATCTTTAATATATAAGGAATGTTAAAAACACACAATGACTAGTGGTATAATCTAGAAATAGTGCGGAACTTGATGTATAAGGAATGTTAAAAATCACAAATCTAGAATAAGTGGGGAACGCTCCGCATGTTGTGTCAAATTCAAATTCAAATTATAACAAAATAAAATGAAAATTTATTGCTAATATTTATCTTTTTTTAACAAAACTTTTTGGCTCAATCACTATATAGTCTATTATGGGACACAAGAGGCTGATCCAGTGCTCCCATAATCGATTTCTGTTAATGTTAAAATATTGTTTGACGAGCAATTTAGTATTTAGTTATCAATTTAAACATGCTACGTGAACCATGTCTAAAAAAAAAGGATAAAAGTTCTCCCTATTTCCATTTTCTATCTTTTTTATTTCCACCGCAATAACACGATGGATGTTAATTGATATAACCTATGAATATGATTGAATGAGTTGCTCCTTCCTAATCCTAAAGGAGTAAACACTAGCTTTCTTTGATCCTTGTATTTGGAAGTGATGATTGAATATCCTAAAGGAATAAATACCTGAATTTGGAAACCAATAAATTATATCATACAAGTGTCTTACAGAAATTCAATAAAAAGCAAAAGCACACACCTGACGTGGCCTGGTGGTAGAAGACGCTATACGAGTGATCGAAATAGAGCTGGTGTTGGACGCCAAAATCGCCGAACTCTTCGCAATCTGATCCAACTTAACGAACAGATTCTTCTTCACCTCTTCGGATTCCACAACAGCTTCAACGATGAAATCCGCGTGGCGCAAGTCCTCCAAATTCGAGGTGAAACGCAGTCGTTTGAGAGCATCGGCACCTGCGCCCTGTCGAACAAGCAAAGCCTCGTGCGTGAGAGAGCAGGTACGAAATTGAAATCGCGAAGAAACGTTCGATTAGGGTGCGACCTGAGAGAGGAGGGATTTGGAAACGAAGCGGTTGATGGAGGAAGAGATGGAAGAGGAGGCTCTGGAGAGAGCGAGAGGGTCCACGTCGTGAAGCCAGACGTCGACGCCGTGCACGGCGGCGACTTGCGCTATTCCCGCTCCCATTTGGCCACCGCCCACCACTCCGATTATCTTCACTTCCGACATTATTTCTGTTTACCCTGCCCTTGTTAGGATATAAACGGAAGTGGAAAATAATTCATTCCGTACCTAACATAATGTTCTTGGGAAGAGAAGAAATAAATTAGTAGACGAAAAATACATAAACTATAAAGTTTTTTTTAATAACTTCAAATTTTAAACAATATATTTAGTTGAAAATTTTTCATATATTATTTTTTTCGAAAATTTATTTTAATTTATTTATAAGTTAATTTTAATTTTAAAAAAATATAATATATCTTTTTCTTATATATTTTTTTTTAAAGAATGCGTTTTGAATTTTTTTTATCTAAATATAACCTATAAATAATGTAGATGGAAATAAGACAAAGAGAAATAAGTGAATCAATCAAGATAAATTAAAAAAATAGAGTAAGAATAATAATATTTTTTATTTGTTATAATAATGGTTGGTTTAATAAAAGAGTAAATACCTTCTTTGATTTTTGAATTTAGAAGTATTGTATATTAGGAATTCTCACACAAGTGTCTTTAAATTGATATGATATTGTTCACTTTAAGTCTAAAAGTGTTGTAGATTTGCTTTTGCTTAACATCCAAAAAGCCTCTTACTAATGGAGATATTTATGTGTTTGTAAAAACATGTTCCTCCTCTTTTCTAACAATGTAGGATTTTGATTGTATTTTAATGATCTTTCTCTCAAATAAAGGATCCCAACAATCTTTTTTCTCAAACACAAAGGACCATGATTCAACCAACTCCTATAGTGGAAGCTAACTTTTTAGTCCACGAGTATTCTAATAATGACTAATAGAATTCAATCATGTTACGCTGTCGCTCCACCATGTTAGCTCATGATAGTGGGACACATCTTTTGACTTCCATGTTAACATGAAGACTCTTCATACATAAATACCATCATATACCCAGATCTACCTATCAACTCCATTATACTCGCATAATCGATCACTTGGTCAAAATCATCAACTCTGATATCACTTGTTGTGCATTAAGAGTTCTCACACATGTGTTTATACATTGGTATGATTGTCCACTTTAGGCATAAACCCTCTTTATTTTTCTTTTGGTCTTCACCCAAAAGGCTCTTACTAATGAAGATATTTTTGTTTTATAAACTCATGTTCATTATCTTATTCTTAACGATATGAGACTTTTGATTTTATTCTAACAAGAAGATAATGTCATTTTAGTTTATAAAATTGAGAAATTGTGAATTAGCTTTTGGTTAGTCTAAAATTTAAAAAAAATTGTGATTAAAGTGATAATATATATATATATATATATATATATATATATGTGTGTGTGTGTGTGTAGATATTAAAATGATAGTAAGTAGTTAAATTTAAAGAATTATTTGATATTTTGGAAATTAATTTTATAATTTCTCATTTTTAGAGACTAATATGGCAACAACTTACCATTCTAGAACCAAAGTGGGAGTTTACTCTTACGAAGCGTTTGGTACAAAGATTATTTTTATTTTTCTAAGAATTTGATAGAAAAGTTAGTTTTCCATGTTTGGATTATTAATTAAAAAGTATTATGTCTAGGAAAAATTATTTCTTGGATTTTTTTTTACTATGTTTCCCACAAAAAATTTTCATTAGAGTACGTGAGAATCTAACATCTTGAATCATGATGAGATTGCATGTTGTTTATTTTGATGCATTTGAATTGTTTAAGATGTATATATGATGATTTGAAGACTTGCATGTTGAGTTGGTATGAATTGAGGATTGAATTTGTAGAGAAAAGTTGAGTTATTTTGGTAAAAACCCTATTCTCACCCAATGCTCATTCATGAACAAATGAACATTTATCCATAATTATGTTTTTGCTCAATGACAAGTGTGTTACCCAATGAGAGAATAATTATGTGGCTAAATTTACCGAGCGAGACATATCATATCTGACAAGAGGATCCACAAAGGATACTAATTGCCCAACAATATATGTTCACCTAATGAGAAGATCCACAAAAAAAGGTTGATTGCTTAACGAGCTCTTGACCGTCCAACGACAAGCTCTAGAGGAGCTGAAGAATTGAGAATCAAAGGTTAAAGTTTTCATATGGCAAGTTCTCACGAAGTCTCATTCTTTCTCATTTTTATTTTTTCCTTATTTGTGAAAATTTTGAGGTAAGAGAAGCTTCTAATTTAATCTTATTTGATACATATGTTGATTGCTGTGTTGATTCATGCCTTGAATGGCATTGACACTAAATTGAAAAGAATGAACCTAGTTATTATATATTTTTGGGTTTTCTTTAGTTGAAAGAAGAATTGATGATCTTGAATCATGATGAGATTGCATGTTGCTTATTTTGGTGTATTTGAATTGTTTAAGATGTATATATATGATGATTTGAAGACTTTCATGTTGAGTTGGTATGAATTGAGGATTGAATTTGTAGAGAAAAGTTGAGTTGTTTTGGGTGAAAACCCTATTCTCGCCCAATGCTCATTCATAAACAAATGAACATTTGTCCATAATCATGTTTTTGCTCAATGACAAGTGTGTTACCCAACGAGAGAATAATTATGTGGCTAAATTTACCCAGCGAGACATAGCATATCTGACAAGAGGATCCACAAAGGATCCTAATTTCCTAATGAGAAGATCCACAAAAGGGTTGATTGCTCAACAAGATCTTGACCACCTAGCGACAAGCTCTAGAGGAGTTGGTCAATCAGTGAGCCAAAAACATGCCCAACAAGAAAAGCTACAAAGCACTTTCGTTGTTGAGCGAGAGCAATATCACCTAGCAAGGAGCTTTAGATAGCTTAGCTCGCCCAAGGAGAGCCTTATTGCATGACTTTTATATTTAATGTTTTTATATGATATGTTAAGAAGATAAGTTAAACTATTATTGAGTTGTGTTATATTATGTTGTTATGATTGACCAATTATGTTGAAAAAAGTTGAATATGAAGTATGTTGAATTGTTTAAGTTGAACTAAAAGTTATTCTAGTGTTGTTTAAGTTGTGTTAATAAGTTGACATGTTGTGTTGAGCTTAATCATGTTATTTGATTCATGAAACATGTTGTTGAACTACGTTGTGAATTCAGAAATATAAGATAGTGTTGTTTTTTAATGTTGATATATATTTCCCATTATGTGGATATGTATTGTGATGCTCTGAGAGTTCAATGTTGAAAACCCTTCTTGAGATAGCTGACTCTTGAAGCAGAGTATTGTGTTTTCTCTAAGTTCTTAATTGATATCATATAGGAGTACAGTCAAGCCATACCAATTTAGAAGTGACCGAATTGAGAGGATAGTTAGTAGGTTAAACATACATGTGACCTAGTTAATGCATGTCAATATTGTAGCGGACCCACACCTAAACTATGTTATACTTAACAATGATATCAAATTTTTTATTTTAAGTGACAAAATCTAAGAAATTATGTTGTGACAAAAAAATGGGTTGATTTTCAAACTATGTGTTATATTGACCTAGAGATGAAAGGTCGTGTTACGTTGATTCGGTAGTGTCAGGTCACTAAGACTATTTACTTATGTTGTAAGAGATCTTTTAATTGTAATATGTGACAATGTATGAAGATGTTATGATGTGAAGATGTCATGTTGTAACACTACAAGAAAAACTGTTATTATCTACGGAATATTACCTACAGAATTTTTTCTATAGATAATTTTTAGTTATCTACAGAATATTACCTATGAAAATTTTTCTGTAGATAATGTTTAGTTATCTACAGAATATTACCTAGAAATTTTTTCTGTAAATAATTTTTAGTTATCTACAGAATATTACCTACAAAATTTTTTCCGTAGATAATGTTTAGTTATCTACGGAATATTACCTACGAATTTTTTTCCTGTAGATAACATTATCTACAGATAAAATCGTAGATAACAACTTTCATGGGTTATTTACGGAAAACTATACGTAGATAACGTTATCTATGAATAAAATCCGTAGATAACAACTTTTATAGGTTATCTACGGAAAACTTTCTATAGATAATGTTATCTATGGATAAATTTTCCGTAGATAATGTTATCTACGAATTTTCTAGAGATAACCTTGGCGGGATGCAAAGCAAAATTTATTATGCTCTAAGTGATGTAAAGAATATTTGGTAAAAAAATAAATATTATTAAAAATTGTCATTTTAAATTTTTTATTTTTATAAATTAATGATGATAAAAAATAACATACTAATATCTGATTTTAAATTTGATATGAAAATATTATAATATAATTAGATAAGATTTTAAATTAGTATTTTATTAATGGTTGATAATTAGAAAATAAAACAAGAATAAATACATTTTTTGAATTTTATATCTTAGATTTAAGATGAATAATTATATTAAGTTAATTAATAATTTATTTAAAATGTTAAAATTTAATTTATAAAAATAATATTTTAAAAGAGAAGGGTTATAATAACATCAGTGTAACTTTTACTAAGTATTACATTGCTCAATAACTTTATATTAAATGTGAATTTTATAAATTCAACCGTTAGATTGAAAGTTTTTTACTCTTAGATCATATATACAAAATTTTATATGAATTCAAGATGATTTGATACTTCATTCTTGTAAAACAAAATTGATGTAATATATACATTTCAAATAAAATATGAGCACTTTGATTACTTTTAAGTTGTTGTTCAATTTTAACAAAAATTGATATAAACATATAAAGTGATATGAACTTTCAATCTAACGGTTGGATTTACAAAATTCACATTTAATATAAAGTTATTGAGCGGTGTAATACTTAGTAAAAGTTATACCAGTGTTATTATAACCCTTCTCATTTTAAAATATATAAATTATTACTTAAACTTTTAAATTTATAATAAATAATTTAAATTGTATCATAAAATTAATTTTAAATAGAAATAAGTAGATTGTTAATTATAAAAGTAAGTATATATATAAATAAAGATTAATTAAATATAATATAATTATTATTATTGGTAATATAATTATTATATATATTTTTATATTTTTATAGCTGTCTAGACACACCAAAATGAGAGAGATCCAAAAATAGTATAAGTATGAGATTGTATAGTTGAGGATGACTTAAATGAATTAATTTGTACTACTTATACTGACAACATGCATTTGTTTTTCGGTAGCTTATCTCATCATAACTCCACAGTTAAGTGTCCTTAACTTGGAGTAATATAGGGATGAGTGACCTTCTGGGAAGTTTCCCAGAAAATGTGCAGTAAGGTCAAAACACGTTGAAAAGTGAAGTGTTGTGAAATAACATTCTTGAGAGGCCAAATACGAGGATTATTACATTAATAAATTTATTAAAATTAGACAAAATTTTTCTGAAGGTTATCTATGGATAAAATCCATAGATAATAACTTTTGTGGGTTATCTACGAAATTTTTTCCGTAGGTAACGTTATCGACGGAAAATTTTTCGTAGGAAACGTTATCTACGACCTTATTACCTACGGATTTTTGGTTGTAGATAATCTGTAGATAATTAAGACTTATCTATGGATTTTCATGCTTATCTACGGATTTCTTCCATAGATAATCCTGATTTTTCTTGTAGATATATGTTGTGCTATTAAGTTGTTAAATTGTATGTTGAGATATAAAATGATTGACATTATATGGTTAATTATCTACGTTGTTCTTATGATGAAGATGTTTATAATTGCTTTTATATTATAAGTTGTATTCTTTGCTTACAAGTTTACCTTTACTTCCATGTTGTTGGACTATTATGATCATATTTGTTATGAGAGTAAGATAAGATTAGGTTGGAGAGCATGTTTGATGGATGACCACGTTGGAGATGAATTTTATATTTTGTTGAGTTGTTCTAATACAACATGCATATAGATGTATATGTATATATATGTACAAAGTTTTTTTTTTTTAACTTCATAAGGGAATTTATGCTTTCAAGTCAAAATTGATAGAGATTAATTTTTTTGTACTTTATACATATATCTGTTACATTAATGTTTAGATATTGTTACATGATAATCTTATGTTACGAGATTCTTTATATTTTTCGTTGCTTAATCACTAAATTGTAATAAGTGTATAGAATTGTTAGATTGTTACAAGTGTTATCACTATTACAAAAACATTATTTAACATCGCCATATTTATATCGGTTCTAGTAGAATCGATGTAAATCATAAACACGGTGGCAAACTTGTAAATAAATAGAAAATAAAAACATATTTACATCGGTTAAAAGGAGAAACGATGTAAATATGAGAAATTCTACATCGAGTTTATGATTAACCGATGTAAAAATGAAATCTGGAAGTTGTTCTACATCGGTTTTGCTTAGGACCGATGTAGAAATGAGACCCTAATATTCACCCTGCGCGAAGGCACACTACCCTTTCAACGCCGTCTGCCTCCAACCACACCCAAACCCTTCCCACGCCGTCAGCCTCCAACCACACCCAAACCCTTCCGCTCGCAACCATGCTATTCCCTCACTACCTACTCGATTCCCCCTCGAAGATGACAAAAACGTCACCATAGCCGTGGCCCAGGGCGTCGTTCCCGTGCTCGTGCGCCTTCTCGATTCCCCCTCCAAAATGAAGGAAAAAACCGTTGCCGCCATTTCCAGAGTCTCCACCGTCGAAATCGCCAAAAATGTTCTCCTCGCGGAAGGCCTCCTCCTCCTCAACCACCTCCTCCGATAGTTGAGGGTTTCGGTAGTGAAGGAAGGTGGTGTGGAGTGCTTGAAGAATTAATGGGACTCCGGTGTTCCTCTTGCGAGTCTGGAAGTTGCAGTGGAGATGGTGCGGCATTTGACAGAAGGGTTTGTGCAGAGGATGGTGGGGGTGTTGAGTTCAAGGTGCTGGCAGTTAGGGTTTCAACGGCGAGGGCAGTTCATGCGTTGGGGATGAACAATAACAAAGCGCGGAAGGAGATGAGGGAATTGGGATGCATTTCGGTTTTGATCAAGATGTTGGATAGGAAGGGCGTGGAGGAGAAAGAAGGTTCCGCGATGGCATTGTCAGTGCTACTGATGCACCCGGCGAAACGGAGGGTGTTTTGGAAGGACGAAAGAGGGGTTGTGAGCGCAGTTCATCTCTTGAAAGAGGGCTTCTGATTGTGCCTGTTCAAATGGTTCTTATTCTACTTTGTATGTAGGCCAAATTGGGTGAGAAAAACAAGTTCTATTATGATGAGAAGCTGAAGACATGGGTGGAAGAAGGTGCTGAATCCAGTTGAAAAAGTTGCTTTGACTATTGATTTTGGAAACAGATAGTAAGTTCAGCAACAACCACAAACCATCCTACACCATTAAAGAACAAGAAGACACGGATGCATCTCAAGAAAACAACATTGCAGACTCCCCCTCCCTCTTCCACTGTGCTCAACATCGATGGCTTAGTCACCTCCCCCACTTCTTCATCTAAGAGAAGGTTCGTACCTAAAATAACTATACCTTTCGTTTAAAATTGAAACTTTACTAGGAATCAATTAACAATGATATTTCTATGTATGTAACATCACCCTGAATTTACATCACTTTTTATCTCTTAGTACATATTTGAATTAAAGTTTATAAATTTAATTTACGATGAGACTCAGCTAAGAATTAGACAAAAGAGTTTGAATTTGAATGGAAAAGCAAAGACATCCTTATTATAGGTATGGTTGTTGAAAGAGCAATTGATTAATTATGTGATTGGGAGAAAATGGGAATTGGTTATGTTGAATTGAGCAGGAGGGCAATACAGAAAAGGGTAGTGCAAATCCCAATCAAGGAGACAGAAGGGTGTAGGCTAAAAGGAGAAAGCAACACCCCACCCTCGGATTCATGGGCATGGAGAAAGTATGGGCAGAAACCCATCAAAGGTTCCCCTTATCCCTTGTTAATTGAATTCCATTCCAATAACATGCTATTCATGTTTGGGATTTTTAAGGTTTGTTGCAATTGTAAGACCTTGTTTTGTGAAGATAATAATTGAGGAGAAGAAAGATAAGTAGTGTAAGTGTATGTTGGAATTGGATAGTGAAATGGGTGTTGTTATTATGACTTGAATAATTCCCTTATTAATGCTGTTGTGGCTTTCAGGTGTGACTTTGGAGGATCCTCGCACTGAAGATCTTAGCCAAGAAGTCAGAGGATTCATATTCTCTAAAATTCTGGTTTGTATAGTCTCACCTATTATTTGTTTTAGGCATGTTGAAGTATGCATGGGTTTTGTTTATTCCTGTTAATTTGGTTTTGCAGAATTGAAGAATTCATCGACTATTTATTCCCAGAGGAAACCCAGAAAAAAAATCTCAAGATCTTGGAAGCTGCTTACAAATGGAAAAGGCAAAAATTGTCTTCTGATGATGATTAAGAATATCTTGTAGCTGCTATACCTTTAGCATGTGTATATATCGGCAAGGTTTTATTGTTGTATAACCGGCAAAAATAGTATAGCTTCTACAGCCAAGTCAATCACGGGCTTTTATAGTTTGTGACAGACACATTTGAGGAATATTTGTCATGCAACCGAGATGGCCAAAATTTTTATTGGGAGAATGTTGGAAAACATATTTAAAACAAAAATGATAATTGAAACTCTTAAATTAACTATTTTTTATTGTTTTACAACAATAACAAAAAAAAAATAATGAAGTTATTTGTTTTAAAATGTACAGTAAGCCATAGTGCTTATCTGATTTTGTTAGGGTAGTGATTCTTCTGTCATGCTGTCGAGTGAGATGGATCAAGCATGGAATGGGATCCCATACTTCTAGCATGCTGTCAGGGTAGTGATTCTTTTAAGCTTACAATTGCCCAACCAGCATTGGACATGCCTGAACTATTGTGGAAGGTACACACATTTATTTCTTGTGCAAGAAACATGCCTGGAACACTTAAACTGCTTGATTCATTCTTGATGCAGTACAGGAATTTACATAATTTGTGAGTTTTAATGGAAAGGGAAATTATGGAAATAGGTTGGGTAGATTTTTTCTTAAATATAAAGATCAATTTATGGATCCTTATTCAAAAACCATTGGAAAAATAGGTGAAGGCAAAAAAATTGATTTTACAAAACTACAAGTGATTAAGGCATTTGATGAATATAATCTTGTGTTTTGACGTTTACATTCTTTTGGGCTCAGAATTTGTGCTCAAAACACATTGACTAAGTATATGCACATTATTTTCTATTTTTATAATGTATTAACACAAAAGAAGTTGAATAAAAATGGGGAGAATTACTGTCAAAGTATTGTTAATAAATATTTCTAGTAGATGATCAGGTGGAAGTTTCTATATTTTCTCTTTTGTATTGCATGTTTTGGAACTACGTTGTTACTTTGTTAGCAACGAAACCTTTGATGATATTATTAATCAACACTTAAAAAATTAACTGAGTGGATGTATATTAGCAACTCCCACATATATCGTGACTCAGTTTAAGGGGCCAATTGCCACATAAAAATCTAAATATGGTGTGTGATAGTCTCCGTTTTTCATCATTCTGATTTATCATTCCTTCTGTGACTTTTATTGTTGTTTTGTACTGCATACCTTGATAACTAAAAATATTGTTCATAATATATCTAACTTTGTGAATACAAAACAGGAATACATTGACTTTGAGACTGCTGAGGGAGAATTTGAGAGAGCAAGAGCACTTTATGAAAGGCTTCTTGATCGAACAAAGCACTTGAAGGTATGGATAAGCTATGCAGAATTTGAGGCAACGGCTATGGATATGGACAGTGCAGACTTAGAAGAACATGAACAAAAGAAGCAATGTATTCAGCATGCTAGAAGTATGGGATCCTAGTGCCACACACAAGCTGTTAATTTTAATTGTTTGTTCTCAGTTTGAACATTAGTCAGCCATTTTTTTTTTCTGTTGCTTTTGAAATATTTCTTCTGGATTCAATCTTCTGGGTTCTAAAATAAGCATGATTTTTTTTATAAAAAAAATGCAATCTACATCGGTTCTCTGGAATAAATCTACATCGGTTGTCCAGAGAACAGATGTAGATTTATGCTTAAATCTACATCGGTTTTTCAGAACCGATGTAAAAATGTATACATTTTCTACGCCGCTCTATTCTACATCGGATTTAGAACCGATGTAGATGACTTTGGAGAACCGATGTAGAATGTGCATCTTGTAGTAGTGTATTACTTTTGCTTTATGCTTTTTCCACCAAGCAAATCCTAAAATTTGACAAATGGAGAAAATAAAGATAATTATGTTTTTTTAATCAAAGAGAAAATAAAAAATAGAAAGAAAGAAAAGTTATTTTCCAAAATATTTATTTATTTTTAATTTAAATTTTATCCTTTTCTATTTTTCTTTCTAATTTACAAACACACTTTAAGAAATATTTGGTTTAGAGAAAGTTAAATAAAAAAAGATAAAAGTAAATTGAAGTTTGTTTGGTGGAGATGAAATGGTGTGAGAAATAGTTGATAGTCATAGATAATAGAAATACACATATAATTAAATGGAGTAGTTTTTTTTTTTACACCATTAAATGGACGTAGTTGGTAAGTGAGTACCACACGTTTATATCTTTCTCCAATGCAGCACAAATATATAAATAAATAGATAGTGGACGTATTTTCATAAATATATAAATAAATATTTTTTCAAACATTATTAAATTGTATTTATTAATTTTGATAATTAAAATTAATATAAATTTATTAAATGTATGACTGTTGATAAGAATATATATATATA